TGGCTTATTAGCCGTCGTCAGCCAATCATACCCAGCCCCAAGTGGTGCACCACTCGAGGCTGCAACTATCGACCTTTTAGTATCAGTGTCTAACGCCCTAGCCATTGAGCCACGAGCTCATTGTCTTGCCGGTTTACGTCTGGTGGTATTGACACTCCTCGATGAACTCTCACCGTAAGAGGTCGGTGTCAACTAACCTGTTGCAAGAGGCGTGACGAAAGTACTGACCCCAAGGACTCGCGCCCAAAAGGACAAAACACGCTGATCGTAGCAGTTAGTTCAAATGAAATTGATAATTCGATCACGTCAAAAAGACGCAGCAGCCTTTTCATTTTCCCTAGGAAACTGCTTATCATCTACACAAATACATAAAACTGTTTCCTTATCAGAAAAGTGTACTGATCATTCAGTCAGTAACAAGGGTGTTTCAATATAATCAGCTTAACTTCGAGGAGATTTATCGCCTGCCAACTGCGTCCGCTAATAAGTGTGCTTTCGTAATTTCAGCTACCCTTTTTGTGACTGTTTCTAATGATGAGTTTGAGGGATTTTCCAAAACGTCAGGCCAGTAAAGTTTCAGTGCTTGCATCTACTTCTTTTGAACTGTTTCCTGAACTCGCTGATCGCTTCTATTGTAAAACGCAGGTTTTCAGATCCCTCACTTCCGTAGTTTTATGCAACAATTCTCGAGTTTTTGAAGAAAAACAGTTCCAAATTTGCGAATATTTATTCGGTTTCATATTCTAATCTTACCGTCCTTCTTGTCCAACTTTTCTGGCATCGGGTAAAGGGCTAGTAGTAGGCCATAATGCAAATGTCCCTGCGTTCACTTTAAGGAAGATGAGGGTTAGTTTTGAGGTCAAGTGTAAGATGTAGGTTTGCGTCGAGGTTTTGGTTAGGATTAATACTAGGGTTTGGGTAAAACAATGTGAATAGTTTTTGCTCTGGAATTTAATGTGAAGCCATACCTACTGCGGTAAACAGAAGTTTACTGTTCATTTGTTTTACCCTTTGTCGGGTGGTTATGCTCATAGGTGTGAATTGACAGACCAACTAGTAATCTTGGCAATTACCAGAAACTTACATACTATTCCGATATGGCCTTAACCCCTCTATAAATGATGCATGAAATGGCAGGCCATTATGAACACCCATATGAAGCTGACGAAGAGGATGTTTCCCAGTTATAAATAACTGGATGCTCGGTCACATTCCGACACATATCTGCCCTTGGGGATGCCGAAATAGCGGACTGCCAGATCGATGGTATAAATATTCGCTGTAGAGATGGTCGGGAAGCGCGACCTATGTGGCTCGTTCTCCGAGCTTCGCTGTGGCACACCAGACTTTGCGGTGTAACTTTAATTGACATGTACGTGGCACTCTTGGGAGCTGGTACAAGGTTGCCCCTGTTAGTACCAGTGCAATCTGAATCAATAATTACCCTATTGAGGTCGACAGCTTCTACCCACGGCCCCAAAACCATCGAGTACGACAACGTGTCAAGTGAGAAATACTAATCTTTGTAATGACTTTCGCCTCCCCAAAGCTGCTCAAAGGCTCGGTTGTGACTGAGGTTAGAGATTACGGAGCCAGTTGTCGTGCCCTTTGCCAGAACTAATCCTTAGATGCCGAGCTTTTTTCCTCTGGTACTATGTAACTAACTACCGAGGAACGTGTTCCAGTGATCGCATCTTCTTCCTCTGGACTGCCTTCTGAGACTCGTCTGCTTGCCTCTATCGACATAGACCTTTCTGCTACTATTTTCTGCTCATGTCTCTAATGAAGAATTCACGACGGGGGTCGAAAGGTCAGGCGAATAAAAGTTTAGTCCCAGCGATCGAATCTTCTTCTCTATTAGCATTGTTATTGTGTTTGGCAGTGTTCTACTTATGCATAATGACTGTTTTTGCTGCGTGCTTCATTGTGCACATAGTAAGATTCTGCTGAATTAACACAAATATCTTTCTTGCGACTTGGCATAACTTTTTCCTACAGATTAGTTTACGTTCGTTTAAACTGTGATCCACAGTAGGCACACAAACTCC